ATCTTAAGTTCAACGTTTCGGCCCTCTTGGTCATAATTTGGTTAAGGATCCGTCTCGTGATAGAACTACTTTCAGCCCTACTTATGGATAATCGGTGGGATTTCGAATGGTAAGATACGAAAAGGAACGAACTATTAAGGATCTTTTTACGAATTTTTGATTGACATTTCAAGTACATGAACATAAATTTTAATGACAATCATTCATGTAGATAGCACAATATTGTCAAAACAGCCAACAGATATATAATTCTATCAGTAAAATCAACTGTTTATAATATTGGTTTTCATTCTTAATCAGTATTACCGTGGTAAGAGGATTTGTCTTATTATGTTAATTTTGTATTTAGATTATTTTCTGGATTTAAAGGAAGCAAATATTCAAGTGTTAAAATTTTTTATCATGCCTTGTTACTGCACGAATTTATATCAAAAACTTATGCAATTAGTATCCGGAAATTTTGTTTTGAAGTCGTGCAGCACATTTTCCAACATATTCGCTAATTTTACTAATTCTGATAAAAGATTGTTAGATCATAAACACAGCTCTTCGATAACAAACACTCGCACTTTACCATTAAAGGTAGTCTAGATAAAAGAAAGAAAGAGAAAAAACAACAACAACAATAAAAACCAACAACAAAAACAACAACAGAAAAACAACAGCATAATAACATTTACCCCATAAACACACTCTAAGTATATGAATTTTACCATGTTTTGTATTAGTTGATGGGTTTTGCCCAGATTGTAAGACAGACAAGTCCTGTTAAGATAGATCTATTTAGCATAGTAAGGATGAAAGCTACGACAATTATAACATCCAAGTCTTTATTTGTTATAAAGGCCCAACTGGTTGGTAGTTTATACAGCAACCTTGTATTCACTATGTTGCTGAATTGACTCCTCTATACACCCAAACATTTCTTTACAATTCGTGCATATCTGTAACATATTTTTCGACAAATGTGTTTGATGCCGTCTTTTTGTTGTTACATACAAAATTTTACATTTGTCAATAGTCAATTTTCGTACAGGAAATGGAAGAAAAATAAATTTTTACCACTTAAGACTATTTGTAAATATGTTTTATTGTTTTTTGTTGTTATCAATTGCTTTTCATGTAAAATTAGTAATTATGTAACGTGCCACTAGTTTTAATATAAGAACTTTTTACTTCAACAGTAACATGGAGTTTAATATTTATGAGGCTATGTATTAACCGCAGTACTTTTTGCTTATACATGCACGTTACATATATATTGTAAAATACCATTACAAAGATTTATAGCGAATGACGTCTACTGTAAAGTAACATTTACGTGTAATATATGTTGTTGTTTATTCTCTCCAAGGTTTTAGTGTTTATTTGTTTTGAAGTTGCACATATTGCTAATTGATGGATCTCTCTGAGAACTTACAATTATGCAAAATGGTAAACAGGCAAAGAGTATGGCGATAACATACTAGTGGAAAAATCATTACGAGACAAAAAGTGTGGTTACGCTTACAGAATACTAATTCCTCTTTCCTAATAACTTCTGAATGATTATTCAATGCATGTTCTCAAAGCAGAACTGTTTGGCATACCGTTGTTTTGGCATCAACACTCTGAGAACTACATAAAGACCGAATAATCTGTTACATAAGCTTTGATAGAAAAATAAACGATACAGGTATGCTTGTAAAATAATTATGCAGAACGATCAGCTGTTGCTTATTAAAATGTTGATTTAAATTCAACTCAATGTAAATATAATGAAAACATGTTAATAAAATAATTTATTTTTTAATAAAGTTAGATTGCAAAATAGACTTTTTTTCAGAATATTTTAATTAAAATAATTTATTAAAACTTTACTCGTACTGTTCAAGTTTTAGAAGAAAAACAATCCAGCTGGATATTCATTTTCAAGTAATGTTTTTATCCTTTTTTATTTTTAGTATAAAATGTTCATTGTTAGAGATAAAATGTACTTAAAAGATATTTTCTTAAATGCAATCAATTACTTGCAGAATATAATAGTTTTAATTTTGTGTTGTACTTTGATACTAGCTTGCATGTTGTACACGTGAAACGAATTAATTGATGTTAAATTTTTTTTTGTACATGTACATCATAAAAAATATTATTACATTAACTCTATCAATTTTACAAATGGACTCGCCGTTTTTTTGACTTTGTTATATAAGGGATGTCAAAAGCAGCAAACAGTAAAATTTACAGACTGCAAACTGGTCTGATCTCTAGTCTGACTGCAAGATGGTCTAAACTATAGTCTGACTGCAAGCTGGTCTAAACTCTAGCCTGACTGCAAGCTGGTCTAAACTCTAGTCTGGCTGCAAGCTGGTTTGATCTCTAGTCTGACTGCAAGCTGGTCTAATCTCTAGTCTGGCTGCAAGCTGGTCTGATCTCACGTCTGGCTGCAAGCTGGTCTGATCTCTAGTCTGGCTGCAAGCTGGTCTAATCTCTAGTCTGGCTGCAAGCTGGTCTGATCTCACGTCTGGCTGCAAGCTGGTTTGATCTCTAGTCTGACTGCAAGCTGGTCTAATCTCTAGTCTGGCTGCAAGCTGGTCTGATCTCACGTCTGGCTGCAAGCTGGTCTAATCTCTAGCCTGACTGCAAGCTGGTCTGATCTCTAGTCTGAATGCTAGCTGGTCTAAACTCTAGCCTTACTGTAAGCTGGTCTGATCTCTAGTCTAACAGCAAGCTGGTCTAATCTCTAGCCCAACTGCTAGCTGGTCTTAAGTCAAGCCTGGCTGCAAGCTGGTCCGATCTCTTCTGACTGCAAGCTGGTCTGATCTCTAGTCTGACTGCTTGCTGGTCTAATCTCTAGCCCAACTGCTAGCTGATCTTAAGTCAAGCCTGGCTGCAAGCTGGTCCGATCTCTTCTGACTGCAAGCTGGTCTAAACTCTAGCCTGACTGCAAGCTGGTCTGATCTCTAGTGTGGCTGCTAGCTGGTCTAAACTCTAGTCTGACTGAATGCTAATCTGATCTCTAGTCTGACTGCAAGCTAGTCTGATCTCTAGTCTGACTGTAAGCTGGTCTGATCTCTAGTCTGGCTGCAAGCTGGTCTGATCTCACGTCTGGCTGCAAGCTGGTCTAAACTCTAGCCTGGCTGCAAGCTAATCTGATCTCTAGTCTGACTGCAAGCTGGTCTGATCTCTAGTCTGACTGCAAGCTGGTCTGATCTCTAGTCTGACTGCAAGCTGGTCTGATCTTTAGTCTGACTGTAAGCTGGTCTGATCTGTAGCCTGACTGCAAGCTGGTCTGATCTTTAGTCTGACTGCAAGCTGGTCTGATCTTTAGTCTGACTGCAAGCTGGTCTGATCTGTAGCCTGACTGCACGCTGGTCTGATCTCTATTCTGACTGCAAGCTGGTCTGATCTCTAGCTTGACTGTAAGCTGGTCTAAACTCTAGTCTGACTGCAAGCTGGTCTAAACTCTAGTCTGACTGCAAGCTGGTCTGATCTCTAGTCTGACTGCAAGCTAGTCTGATCTCTAGTCTGACTGTAAGCTGGTCTGATCTCTAGTCTGGCTGCAAGCTGGTCTGATCTCACGTCTGGCTGCAAGCTGGTCTAAACTCTAGCCTGACTGCAAGCTGGTCTGATCTCTAGTCTGACTGCAAGCTGGTCTAAACTCTAGCCTGACTGCAAGCTGGTCTGATCTCTAGTCTGACTGCAAGCTGGTCTGATCTCTAGCCTAACTGCAAGCTGGTCTAAACTCTAGTCTGATTGCAAGCTGGTCTAAACTCTAGTCTGATTGCAAGCTGGTCTAAACTCTAGCTTGATTGCAAGCTGGTCTAAACTCTAGTCTTGCTGCAAGCTGGTCTGATCTCGAGTCTGAATGGAAGCTTGTCAGACCCCTAATATTGCTATACTGGTTGCATAGGTCAGTTATTATGGACATAAAAAAATGTTTAATCTAAGAAGATTTTTCAGCAAAGCATAAACTACAACAAGCACCTGCAAAGCAAATGCCATGTAAAATACCTTTATAATTGTATAAAGAAACTTGTAGAGGACTGTTACCAACCAAAGACCAAATCAATAAACTGTGGAAAATAATTTAGATTGGTTTACTGAAGTAAACAATTATGTCCTTAAATTAGTTATCTTTTTACTATTATTACCCGACATATATTCTACAGATACCTATTATGATATAACAAAAGATAGTTACTGTCAGAAAATATAAATTTATACACATAACAATGCTTGGTATATGGTAAAATTTCTATCACTTCTGTTAACCACAGGATGCAGAAAGTCCTTTCATTTGTATTAAATGGAAATTGATTATTTTCAGTATCATTGTTTTTCCCGTTGTTTTCATGCATCATAGAAATGCCTCTGAATTCCATCTTAATTCCATGTCTTCAGTTCTGAGATAAAACTGCTAAATGATAGCATATGGTAAATGCCTGTTAATTTAGTTTTATTTCGTTGTAATTTTCCGGTTACCTATTTGAACAGTGAGAATTTTCTCTTAACGTTTTGATAAATTGATCAGGTTATACATCCTAATTTTAATCATACAGAATTTAAAACTATATAATATATAAATTAAAGAGGATATTGGATGGAAGATATCAGAAGATGCAGTCTCAGGCCATTTATTGTTGTTTCAAGATGTGACCATTAGTGCTTTGCCATTCATGATAGACCTAGGCTACTATTTAGAGAGAGACTCACATTGCTATAAAATGTCATAATTTTTATACCAGGAAGAGGTCTTTAGTCACATTGTTGTTGCTTGTATTTTAAACAATCAAGTATGGGTTCTTTAGGTGAATTAGTTGAATATGTTTCTTGTGAAGGACTGGAGCCAGATATCAATCATCATTCAGCTCACACTATAACTGTCTTATATGATATAACTTGAATATTCCTTTCAGTATTTGAATAATGATAGTGATGTAGTAAATGTATTTCAAACTCAGGGCTAAACTACTTGGATAGGAAAGAATCTTATCTAGATAAAAATGGTCAAAATAATGTTACATTTTTTACATTTTAATACATATCAGTATATATTCTTCTTATCATTATCACAGTTAAAATCATTTGAAACAACCCAATAAATAATTAAAGAAGAGAAATAATAAAACATAGAAACAATATCACAGAAAACAGTAGCCGTAGAAAACTTATAACTCTTTACAAAATATTATTCCTATAACAGATGTTTAAGTAGCAGATACTGACATAATAATACAGTATTTAAATCTTTCCCATTGAATTGTCAGAATTCCAGTATGCCTTATAAATCCCATTATTTGACATATAAAGAAAAAGAAAAGAAGTTTTCACGTCCCCACATTGTCTTTAACAACTTGTAGTCTAGATCACTTTTTTCTAGAAGATTCTTTAGGTTCAGCATCTTCCCCTTCCACTTCCTCACCTTCCGGTGGGGGTGGAACTGTTATTGTGGGGAATTTAAATTCCCCATGTGGGAGAAGTCTGTCGCTGTCTTTTAACGCGACCTCGATAGACACAAGTCTGTTCAGTTTAGAGATACGTTCACCTCGGCATGGGGCTCCAATCTTGAGAAAACGTGCATTTATGCCAACAGCCTGAAGTAGAAAATGAATATCAATAACAATTTCTACAGGAATATGTACATTTTCTGTACAAATCAGTTAATATATACCTAGATTTCAGAAACTTTTACTAGTGAATACTCATATTGAAATCCAAATGTACAAGACCTTTCATCATGTGTCTATAGCATAGGAATTGCTCCCACATTCATCTGCTTTGTCAGCCTACAGATAGACAGAAAGATAGCAAGACAGTGTGACAAGGGCAGATGATGGCAAATCCTCATCCCCTCCTTAACTGGTGCATAATCATCATTACTGGATGATAAAATGTTGTTGTTTTTGGTTATGGTTGCAATGTAACCAGGAACAGTAAATTTTTGTTCATCACATCATATTTTATTACATTTTAATTTTGGATTTGGTTTTAAGTCTTACTGGCACATTTAAGGCTGTACGGCAGCTTTCCTAGTGGAAAAATATTGAAGGCGCCCCTCTGTTTATTATTTTAAGCAGAAGTAGAAGTAGAACCACAGATATTTTATAATCTAACTGGAAAACTTGCTCACATCTTAAAGAATCTAAAGCCCCTAGCTAGCTGGATAATCAACCAACAGGTGAGAGGGTGAGTGATTTGAAGTCACCAACTATAACCACTCTGCCATGAAGGCCCCTTTTTTCAAATTGACTCTTTCTTTATACATTTCATATCTAGATGAAATCATTATAAATCCAAGACAGCTAGAGTACATAAATGTTAAGACAGCACACAGCTGTGATATATATACTGTGTTATGTTGCTGTATGAAACTGTATACAATAGTCTGACTCACCATATCCGCTATAAAATCATCTGATGTTTCCCCTATATTTGTTGACAACACAGTTTCATTTGCATTCTCTGTAAATAACATAATTGTATATATTTAAAAGTGTGTCAACATCTGGTACATAATTAACATTATCTGGGACATAATATGACGTCATATTATAAACAGAACAGCTTTGTACATATAATGATTTTCTAGAATTGTCTTTTGCTCATATACTGTTAAAACTCTACCCTTTCAATTGTATATTTTGTAATTATTTGCAGCTACACATCTTCAAAAGAGGGTTAAAAGAAATGATAAAATTCGGGTAGATATAAAGTTCTGTTTCAACTTTGACAACAGAACAAAGCAATTATACCTTCCATTTTCTTTGCACACTTTATCACATCTGAAACTGTATTCATTTGTTCGAGTTTGTAGATAACACCACTGCTTGTGAAATTTTCTGTGATCTCTTCATCTTTTAATAAACCAGGTCTATGCCAAACTTTATCTCCCAGAATGTAACATTTCTCAGATATTTTCTCACATAATGCCATCCACTGCTTGTCTTCCTGTAGGAAAAAATACAATTTATATTATCAACCTTTAATCTTCTGAATTTATTCAATCATTTTCCCTGCTTCAAAATTGGAACAGTATATAATATAACATGTCAACACCTTTAATCAGATGGCTAAAAAGGTCATCATCATAAGTCTAACACATTCACTAAAATTCCCTATCTATTTTCTAACCCTATTTCGCTCTATATATCTTTGAGAAAAATGAATAAGCAACAGAAATAGTCACAAAACCAGCCAGGTTTTCTGCCAATAATAATTGGGTGAAGTTCTTTAAGAAAAGTTGGAGACTGTGTACACAGAAGATAATTCTTGGATTATGTACATATGGATGATCAACAATAAATGACCATTATTTTGTCAATGATAGTTAAATCATAAAACCCTGATATCATAGCATCAAACACTTGGTGACAACAGTTTTGTGAAAGTTTGGTTGAAATCCCTTCTGAAATATAGGAGTTGTGGACAGCAGAATTTTTAACACATGCCCACAGCACCCCTGACTGTCAACATTCACTGATTTAATAGTAAGAATTTTCTTTCAGAACGCCTGTCTAATGAACAAGATTCTAAAACATTGTTTCACAAGTACCTAGATATTCTTACCTGTTTTCTCAGTGGGTCTATGACAGCTATTACAGCTGGATACCGGCCTAAAAATTCTGCCCAGAAATCAACCATATCCTCTGCCAATTTTTGCTGACCTGTGATAACCTCATACTTTCCCTTTTCCTGAAAATATTCAAACTTGAAAAATGAGAATCAAAAATTGTTTATACAGTATTATGCCTTTTTTGACTCGATAGAGTCAAAAAGGGGCATAATTTTGTCCTCTAGTATGGAAATGGGGATGATGGTCAATAACAAGTATTCCACATTTCAAAGCATTAATACATGAAAACATCAAATGGTTTAGATCGATATAAATGAGATGGTACAGATAGGTTAAACATAATTCTTAATTGAAAAAGAGGCATAATTTAACAAATATTATTAAAAAACTGTAATTTCATTTTCATTCTCTGACATTATATTTACAACTATATCACTTATCAAGTTAAAACTTTAAACTTCCTCTTTTTTTCTTAATTTTAATGTTACATGTACATGCCAAAAAATGATAATTAATATCTTTTGTGGTTTCATAAATATCAATGCTATGTAGAAAGTACTGGACATTATATAATTATTATGTTGATTATGAACAATACTGTCTCACACTGAGTGTTGTGCAATAAATATAACTCCAGTCCTAAATGTGCCAAATATATGTGACAATACATGTATAAATACATATCACCTATACACCAAAGCAATAATAATTTGTGATGACGAAGTCAAAAAATATTTAATTTATAATAAACAAAAATTGTAACTGTATTATTTTTAATTCTTGCAAAAAATAAATAACATTTTCTTGTGTATTTTCAAAGTATCAAGCAGAATTCTGTTGATTTAAATATTAACCAGGAACACCAACTTTTTTAATCCAATGAAAAAATATAACACCTAGTTTAACTTAAAGTAAGATGTACAAAACAGTTTTCCAGTTTATTGTATGATTAATAATCTAACTTTTATTCATTATTTTAGTAACAATAACTCATTAAAAGACAATTTTAACTGAACCAAAGATGTGTATGTAAACAGAAGATCAGCTTTCCTATCACAAGTATGCTGGATTTCAACATTTTTATGTTTTTGAACATTAAATCTTGAAGTGAAGGTCATTTAGGGGTCAAGGTCAGAATCTAAGCTCTTGTTTTCTGGAAAAGTAAGTAGGCTCTAGCTTATACACATGTTATAGAATAAAAGCTGTTTATGGCAAAGGTTAAAGTCATTATCTGAGAAAGACAGACTGACAGACATACAGGCAGTAGGGGCAAACAAGTTACATCAAATGATGTTTAAACTTTCATAGCAATTCTACATTCATTACCGGTATATTATATATGATATCTATCCAACAATCCTGTAAATGAAAAATTATTTTACTCTAAAAAATAAACATGGTTTACTGACATTGTAAATTTTCTAGACCAAGCAATGTACATTAACTCAAAATTATATAAACTAAGTTAGCTATGCTATTATGTATATTCAGCAATTATACTATGTATTGATTTAAAAACAAATATACATGTATTGGTTTTGTTTTAAAAACAAAAATGTCATTGTAAAGTTTTCATAGCAAAGTGAATGAACTTAACTTCACACCATAGATAAATGTTCTATGTTTGAATTTTTATTTGCAAATTTTTATTTTCAATGGTTCAGATGTGAAATTTTCAAATGCCAATTTTCTATAAATATGATTATAATGAATTTTATATGAGCTCTGTTTGAATTTCCTTTTGACTTTGAGTGAATTTTCTACGATAGTGATGGAGAATTTTCTTTTGACATACGACAGACTGGTGAAGAGCTGTTGGTGAATTTTTCCATAACCAGTGGAAGAATAATTTATGTGAACTATAACCAAATATTCCATGACCCTTGGGTGAAATTTCCATGAATCCCAAAATAATTCTCAGTGATGTCTATACTACTCACCCTGTTACCAGACACAACCTACAGTTAGTCTACATGTGTTTACTATAGCTGTGACTAGAAGCAAAATGTCATACAATAATATCATATAGTAACCGTATAAACTGTTTAATTTCACCCTGCAAAATTAAGACACTGGCTTTTTCTGAAATTATGCTAAATCTGGTAATTTTTATAGAAATATTCTCGATACAATTTGTATTCTCAATTTGAAAAAGAAAAATGAAGTTGCGCATTTGTTAACATTCTTTAATACCTGAACTTGCAGGACTCATGAATTATTTTTGTTTCTCCAGAAGACCAACACCATTATATAAAATTCTTGAATCAGAAGCGGGACATTATTATATTACCTGTAAATTTATATTTCTAAAAAATAACAAATGCTTTGCCTGGGACTCACAGTGACATTATGTTCGCCGAAGAAAGAAAGCACAAAATCATGGTGAATTTTGGACTAAAACTTCAGAGCAGAATCCGAAAAAGGCAGGTCTTTGGGTGTGTTTATACAGTTACTATTATATGCTGTCTACATTTGTAAATCTTACACTTTCACTTACCTGAATCTATTTGACATTAAAACACAATTGTATTAAAATTATATTGTCACAATAATCATAATGACATACATGATTGTGTTTAGTTGTAGTACAGAAGAATGATTGTTATTTCAAAGCTAAACACCTCCAGACTGACCAAAGTTTTGAAAAAAAACAACAACAAAAAAAACAGTATTAACAATGTAAGAAATGTATAAACTTTAGAAATCCATAATAATATTTTAAATGTTATTGCAAAATGTATCTGAATCTTACAGATAATACAGAATTTTGAATGGGATCAGACTTGGTAATGGAAACACATTTGATGTCTTGTCCAACAAAGCATGATTTTTTAAAGAATATGCTGATGAAAATGATAACATGTTTTTGAATATACATGTATATTTGACAGAAAACATAATCCAATATTAAACAAGGGTGCCATAGTCACAAAATACGTCCGTTTACAAAAGCTTTAGATGGAGATGGGGGCATTATGGATAAGTGTTATCTAGCAAGCAAGTTTTTATCCTTGGCACTGTGTTGTTAAATGAACCTTAAAACAAATCAGTAGGGAAGATATGCACAGGATGTGTGACCTTGACCTTGGTCGCAGGGACCTGAATTTTATGCACGGCACTCAGCCTCACAATGATGAACATTTGTGCCAAATTATATTGAAATCCCTCTATGCATGTCGAAGTTTTGCTCCAGACAAGCGTTTTTCTATGAGCTCTAACTGTGACCTTCACCTTTGACCTAGAGACTTGGTTCATGTGCAGGGCACTACGTCTCATGGTGGTGAACAATTCTATAAAGTAACATTAAAATTCCTCCATGCATGTAGAAAATATGCTCCGGACAACATCTGGATATTTAATCATCTCCAGTGACCTTGACCTTGCAAATATTAACCTAAATTAAATGTGTCACACCTGTAGTCATGATAGTTACCATTTGTGCTACAATTCATCAATAAATGATGACTAAATGGTCCCTATACACATCTTCAAATTTTTATCTGAACTTTGACCTCTATGTGTAACCTTGACTTTGGTCGCAGGGATCTGAATTTTGCGTGCGACACTCAGCCTCACAATGGTGAACATTTGTGCCAAGTTATATTGAAATCCCCCTATGAATGTAGAAGTTTTGCTCCGGACAAGCGTTTTTCAATGAGCTCTAAGTGTGACCTTGACCTTTGACCTGGAGACCTGGATCATGCATGGAGCAATACATATCATGGTGGTGAACATTTCCATAAAGTATTATAAAAATTCTTCCATACATGTAGGAGATATGCTCCAGACAAAATCTGGATATTTCACCATCTTTAGTGACCTTGACCTTGCACATATTGACCTAAAGTACATGTGTCATAGCCGTAGTCATGATAATGACCATTTGTGTTACAATCCCTCAATAAATGATGATTAAATCGTCCCTATACACATCTTCATATTTTTATCTGAACTTTGACCTCTATGTGTGGCCTTGACCTTGGCTGCAGGGACCTGAATTTTGTGCGCGACACTCCGCCTCACAATGGTGAACATTTGTGCCAAGTTATATTGAAATCCCTCTATACATGTGGAAGTTTTGCTCCGGACAAGCATTTTTCAATGAGCTCTAAGTGTGACCTTGACCTTTGACCTAGAGACCTGGTTCATGTGCGCGACACTGCTCCTCATAGTGGTGAACATTTCTATGAAGTTTCATTAAAATCCCTCCATACATGTAGGAGATATGCTCCGGACAAAATCTGGATATTTCATCATCTTTAGTGACCTTGACCTTGTATATATTGACCTAAATTATATGTATCACAGCCATAGTCTTGATAATGACCATTTGTGTTACAATCCCTCAATAAATGATGACTAAATGGTCCATATACACATCTTCATATTTTTATCTGAACTTTGACCTCTATGTGTGACCTTGACCTTGGACGCAAGGACCTGAATCTTGCGCGCGACACTCCGCCTCACAATGGTGAACATTTGTGCCAAGTAATATTGAAATCCCTCTATACATGTGGAAGTTTTGCTCCGGACAAGCATTTTTCAATAAGCTCTAATTGTGACCTTGACCTTTGACCTAGAGACCTGGTTCATGTGCGCGACACTGCTCCTCATAGTGGTGAACATTTCTATGAAGTTTCATTAAAATCCCTCCATACATGTAGGAGATATGCTCCGGACAAAATTGGACGCCGCCCGCCCGCCCGCCAGGGGCGTTCCCATAATACGTCCCGTTTTTCAAACGGGCATATAAATATTGCATGCTAGTATACATGTACATGTATATATATAACAAAAGATAAAGTAACACACTTGTGTTAACATCACTTATTGTGAATTACTTCACTTATGTTTACCACTTAAAACAGTGTTTAAACTCTTTTAGTCTAAGAATTAATGATGAATCTGGAGGCATAAATGTGGTTATATCTTTTGTTGCACGGAATAAAATCTATGACAAACCACCTAATATTCAAATATTAAATATTATTTGTAAGACTAAGTTTTTAATTCCTACTGCATAATTCTACAAAATCAAAACACCATAAAAACTGATAAAAATCAAGCAAACTTTTATGGACATTAAAAAAGCTCTTAAGAATCACTATTTCTCAACATACTGTACAAAAAACATGCCCTTATTTAAGTTTTCCCATGACCTTTAATTTTAAGCTTTGAAAACAGTTCTAGTATATAAAGTAGTATTTATGAAATACTGTACAACCTGTGATGAAGAACACTGATTAAAAGACCAATACAGTGGGTTATAGCTAAGAGGTGTTGCTCAAGAGAGGTTAAATTTATTGTGAAGTTTCACTTTGGGAAGAGATGTAACTTTTGTAAAGAAGATGCTATAAAGAGGTGGTCTCTCAGCAGAGGTTACACTGTATAATAAATGTAAAATAACTGGCTTGAATCTTTATGAGAAATCATGTAGACTTAGTCAAGATATCAGAATGGAGACAATACTAATGTCACAACTACAAGTATTCAAAAAGCACTTTGTATCAAGGGCAATAACTCAAGTGATTCAACTACAATTATGTTAAAATACTAATATATATATAATGATAAACCATTCATCTACTTCAAGGACTCTACAATAACATAATAGAATTATAGATCTAGCATCATGCACATATAATACATACTGGCTGCTTTTTGTCAGCAAAGGGAAAACTCTGCGAAGCTTTCTCTTTTGATCCTCCTGTGTCCTTTACAATAAGTTACGTGCAAAATATAATTCATCATTAAGCTACAGCATTCTAAGTGCAATTTTATAAATGCTTAACAATCTTATTTGTACAAATGACTTGCTCTGCTTCTTCATTTGAAATTGTCTATTGTTATTTGAACCCTTAAAGGAACTCCACTGAGGTATTTTTGCATGACAAGACTGGATTAATTATATTTGTCATATGTTTCTGTTCAGATCGGAAGGATATTCCAATCCGAACCGCAAACATAATTATGTCAGATATTTTTTCTTGCATATTGTACCATATTCCATTATACTTGAAATTCTTTACCTTAATAAAACAATTATCCATGGAAATTTATGTCATTACACCCGTAACTATTTTCTTACAAAAGCTGTGAAATTACAACTTCATTCATAATGGCGAAATTATATCATTTTAAGCATGCCATTGTATAGAACACAACTCTTCTGGCAAACCCCCATGCCCGATGAAATTTCCGGCAGGGGTTAAACTATCAGAAACACCAGTCTTATGTGCAAGAAATATTTTTTCTGAGATAAATGTTCAATTTGTTAAATGTCGAGACCAATAACTTCTGTGTAAAATTTCAGATTTTATTCGCTGTCTGTTTTTCCAGAATGATTCTTCTAATTGTGGAATATGACCAACCTTGAAAACCTTTGCAATGCTTTCCATTCAAAATGGACTAAGGATAGCAGAAAAATAGAATTTTCAATTTATTTCTGAGTATATTTCTTAATCATAATTTATATATTTTCCATTTTAAGTGCACAAATTGATCTATGTAAGAAATCCAAAGTTTATGTCTTCCAGCTTTTGGACCTCAGTGGAGTTCCTTTAACCTACTGAATTGTTGGAATGGATTTGCCCTGCTTTGAATTTGGAACAGTCCATTCAAAGTTTTAAGGATTTCAGTATCAAGACACAAAAATAGAACTTCCAACAGTGAAGAGCTTCGCCAACTCCATGAGCGTGATGTAGGCTGGCCTGGGTCTATACTGGTGACAAAAGCTTATCACCTCCAGCTTCAGCAAGTTAAGGGTTTAAGGGTATCTGATTATTTAAAAGCTAATTTTAGAGCAGCCAACACAAGTCTCACCAGACTGCACACAGGTATAGGGTAAGTTTAACTTTATACTGGTGGCAAGGGCAAGCCACTGTTGCCGTCACAGGTTTAGAGTTAAGGATTAATCCGATTATTATAATAAAATCATAAAGATGGGTTACTTTTCTATTTTGAATATCATTCATGCAGGAAACACAGACATTGTTATTTTGATTGATTTTGAAAGAACTCTGTTTAGATACATGTTAAATAGTTCTAAGCTCAGGCAAGCTAACTGACTTAAGTCAAAATTGCAGGCAGGCTTTCATTAATGCCACTTCAAAATAAACTGGTATCTTTAACATTAAATATTTCTTAGAACAACAACAAAGTTAAATGCCAATAAAAATAACTACATCTTTTGGACAAAAAATGCAAAATTTTGACAACATGAATTATAGTGTTCTAAAGTAAAAAAAATCATTTAATCAATTACAAAGATCATGTGTTAAAGTATTAATTAAAGAAGACTTACTGATTAAGACAAACAGACTAAAACACTGGCAGTGGAAAAAGTAAAATATAATTTAATAAGAGAAATTCATCATGCATTTCTATATTATTGGTAGCAACTATTTCATGTGGAAATTTACCAGTATTATGTATAAAAAAGTTTATACCTATGGTATTAAGAAAGGTGTAGGAAAATTAGAGAAATACTGGTATTGTAAAATTAGATTAGACTTTTCTTTCTATTTATTACATAGTTCTTAACTACATGAATAAAACTGACTATAATTTCTTGATTAATATGTGACTAATGATAAGAGCGTCACTGTGCAAACTATTTACATGCTTCTTAAGAAAAAATATGAGAATATTTTGCAAAGTAAATAGGAATACATAAAATACAGTTAATTACAATTTGTTATTAAAACTCCCATTGCATATTAAGGTAAAAGGAATCAAAGGGAGGTAACTTTAATCAATAAAGTTGATTGAGTATATACAGAGTTACTTTACTTACATAGTCAAATATTTCATGGCCAGCAAGATTAAGGGCCATGTACATGTCCTCACCAGGAGTTAAACCTAACCGTCCCATAGACTCCTGAATCAGATCCAATCCCTGTTCTGGTCGGTCAAATGGCATCATCAAGGCTCCTATATCTGTCACATTTTTGGCAGCAACCTAGAAAAAAAGTAATTTATAAGCTATAACATTAAAGAAATACATGTACTCTTTTTAGAGAAAATGATTTGAATCAACGCAAGAAGCATATAAGAAAGTTCAAAGAAAACATATACCCCTCTGGAATAAAATGAACCATTTCAGTAATAAATCAAACACATTTCAATAACAAATCAAACAACTCTGGTTACAAATGTACCATACTTTCATGTTGAGGTATTAACTAACTAGACAAGTTTCCATAGGACATGGGCGTCCCCACTACCATCACATAACTACCATTACTAGTCTGACTAAACAGACTTGGTAAAGAGACATTGAGGTATTTCTTGGATGGGCTATGTTTTCTTCCAAACAGTTTAACAGAAAAGGAATAGGCTGGTCAAATGGAAGAAAAACATGAACATCAAAATAATTAGACTATATTGTAACTAATAATCTTGTAAAATTACTAGCATTTACAAACAATCAACTGAGTTACACTTGAAGAGTGACAAATGTCAAAATGTGCTACTTTATCCTAAATCTAGGGGCCATAACTTTGCTAATCTCCAATGAATTTGTCAAAAATAACACAGGTGTATCAATTCACATGTTGAAAAATATTCCTTGAAAGTTTCATGATTCAGAGTTACACTTTTGGAGTACAGGTGACAAAAGTTGAAAAAATACTATTTTATGCTTAATCCAGTGACATTAATATCTGCCAATCTCGAACAGTATAAAAAAAATATGCACTTCTGCAAGCTTCCCTTTATTTTATATCCAAATGATTAAAAAAAATGAAATAATAACTAATAAAAAAACAATGTAAAAAAAACACCATTAAATAACAAGTTATATGAAAATTTGTTAATGGCAACAGGTATTTGATATATTTGTATGTTTATTTCTACTGGTTATAGACAAGGTACATTATATCAACAAGTTTGAGACTGTAAACATATAAAAGTGCAGCATATTAACTTTTGTAAAGATCAAATGTTTCATTAACAAAACCCTTACAGTCCATGTTTGAGCTGTACACTGGGGCCACAATCAATTCTTTCCTAATTTGTCACAATAATTATAAGGTATGTGTTCCAAGAAGAGGACTAAGACTAATGGTGAAAATATCCTAAAAATATTTTCACAATTGAGCTTAAACATTATACCAGGGATTTGCCAACACCGCGATTTTGCGAGATTCTCGCTGTAAAAATAAAAAAATCGCATTGTTTTCAAGTATCCGCGAGAAAAAATCGCATGGTAATTTTCAGAAAATATGTTGATACCTAGTTTTTAATTGTGAATGACAGGTCGTGTGTGTTTGCTTTGTTTACCCTTGTCGAAAAAGAACTGTCATGCATCTCAATTAACACGAAATGTCATTAATCCGCTTGTTTACCAACATGTCATAAAGTGTAATTAACAGACACTCAGGGAACAATTTGACTCCTCCCACGTGTTGCGAGATTACCAATTAACGCGAGAAACCAATCAGAGTTCCTGTTTAAATCGAAGTGACATTATTAAACCAATCAAATAAATCGCTAACATATAACTAACAATTACGCAAGATGGAGGAGGGATCAAACGTCAATTAAATCTTCACTTTCAAATGATTGTCAAAATTAAAGAGAGCAGATATAAATATAACTGTAACGGTATTTTTAAGTAAAAATAATGTTTTTTGTCCACGAGTTATACTTAATTAAATTAACGGCATATTACACTGTATTAACTAGTTAAAAAGTAATGATTTCTTTCGTCCCCTACTTTCATCTAATTTACAACAATCAACATACGTGAATATTATGTCCTGTGCAAAGACCGTGCATTATAATTCGAAGAAAAAAGCAGGCAAATCAAACTGAAAAACTGAGAGGCATATAAATGACATCATTCTGGATTCATTATTTTTTTATTAATATCTGTAGCTTTTTTTTCTAAAGTTATGTATGACCTTTTGGAAAATCTATTATTATATTGTCTGAATGTCCTCAGACTAACAAGCTGTGGACGTTCCAATCGTCCATGCAAGTACTTTTAAATGACATGACAGTGTTGAAATTTCATACTAGTTTACAATCCGTGTAAATTAACATTTCTGATACGACTATGCAATGTGACTTAATTCAATCTCCTAGTACCTGAGTGTACTTTTATGTTCTGATATTATATGCAATTTAACTGTAGTTATTAATAAAGTTTTGTTTTACAGCTGATCTAAATTTTTAGTAACTTAAATTTCGATATTTTAGCAAAAATATAAATCTCACTATTTTGAAAAAAATCCCATTGATTTGATTAATGGGGGAGATTTTCTCCCATAGAATTTGCTGGTCAGGATTATCCCTGTTATACATTTGTAATACTTAAACTAACAAGAATACCAATATGTTTATAATTTTGTAGTCCATTTCAACAGGTTCAATTTGTATGTAGAACCTTTATTCAATTCAAGGATGCTGTAAAGTTTGGTGACAGACTATAACCTGGTTTATAAACAACATCATTTAAAAACTTTTTTTTCTGCTAAACTATTCTTACTATTAACTTAAAGCATGACTTTGTATATACATGTACAATAAAAGATTCCAGACCAGGAGTCTCAAAAGAATGTTTAAGATTATTGAAAGGGTTTATGGACAAATCAATGAATGAAAAGTATATTTATAAAATAGTGCAAAAAAAAATAAATAAAAAAATACACACACACATAAATATCTGTAACACAGATAAATATGTCCTCCAATATGGCTGATACAACTGATAAAACATCATGCCTATTTAATTGAATATTGGTAGATAAACTACAAATGTATACAAATATATCACATATAAATCATAAATATATATGTGTGCAACAAGTCTAGCAAATTTATATCCTGGTCCCTGTGCTATTGGCTTACCCTTTCAGCTTTTTTATTTGTGGGTACCTAGAAAATTTGGAATGTCACAATAAAAATAAATGACACACAACAGTGTTGATGAAAACTATAGAGTCAACTTAGTTCAAATTGTCATAAAATTTAAATGAGTGACAGCTGAGTTTTCTGACTTGCAACCTTTAATTACCTTTGTAACCTTTCCATAGTAAAACAAAGGCTACAGCTATGAGATGAAACTTTTTACTTTAAAACATTATGAAAAATGAGTGAAATATAAATATGAACATGACAGTGGTTATTTTTACTATGATATTTGTTTACCCTGCAGAATTTCTCAATTATGATTAACCATGTTTTGAATGGGAACTGTGTAATATTGGGTTATGGTTTACACAGAAAAGTATAAAGCCTGTGTAGATAAGCCAACCTGGCTCTTCGTGGTGGCTTAAGTCCACTTCTAACTAGAGTATTCAAAAACCTTTTTGAAGTATTTCCGATGATTCCCTCTTCTAATATAGCTGTTTCACAACAAAAGCATTCTTAACTAAAATGAGATATGAATTAGGTATAAGGGAGATAGTCAAACCTTAACTGATATTTTAAATTATACCACATTTGTCTCCCTTTAGTTACTCAATGCCTTATGTTTAAGTTTGGATTTAAAAGGATTTTTACAGTAACACTCTTTTTTTCAAAATCTCAGTATAAAACAAACATGCATCTGTATAATGGAAAAAGAAAAAGTTAAACAGTTTTGTTGTGAGGTGACCATGGAGAGAATACAATGAAATACATTTTACTTACCCCGTTTTTGTTCACAATAGATTTTACAATGTCATTATATACAGCAACAATCTGGGGAATCGTCTGAAATATCAAAACAAACAATTCAGTTTGTAAATATTTTTACAATTCAATTTTTCCAAATTGGAATATTTTCAAATAGTGAATATTTCTATGCATGAATATATGTGTATTTTTAACTGTAAAAGTGTGCTGGCAATAATGGTTGAATTGTTAAAGTGTCAGCCTCTAAACCTTGTGATCATTGGTTTGAACCATACCTCAGTCAAGATCACATCTGCTCAGATGACACTGCCACTGACTAAACTAGTAGATACGCAGGTAAGTTAAATATTGCATAATTGAGTGTTGCAAGATTTTACCGATATCAGTCAAAACTTACAACTTGAGCCCTAACTTTACATTGTTACCAAATTTAACAGGGTGGAAAACCTCAAAACATGTTGATCCAAACAGTGAACAAATGACCATGGTCTTCCTTAATGTAGAATTTTATATACATGCAGTCATAAATCAGGTTATTTTAAAACAAGAGTTGTCCGTAAGACAGCGCGCTCGACTTTTTTATTGCTTGCCAATAAAAAAAGTTTTTGCAGTAAAAGGCAATACAAGAATCTCTGTATTTTTAAAGTGAACTAGTTGTTTGATACCCTTGAATATTACAGCAATGTTTATATGACATAATTTATGGTAAAGTGAACAAGTGGATAGGAATGAATTTTTTTAGATTTTTTAAGTTTTTTAGTGCTTGCCTATAATACAAAACATTGACAGTTAAGGGCCATAATTCAAATAAAATCTTTGACAGAATTACCTTCTCCTGGACATGTTTGGGAATCATGATTGTAAACAAGTATTCCAACTTTCAAATTAATATCTCAAACAGTTCAGTCAAAAAGTGGACTGGTACTAAAAACTTAACCAAGATTCTAAGTCGATAAAAGGCCTTAATTTTTAAAACAAATCCTTGACAGAGTTACCTTCTCTTGCGTACAGATGGGGGTAATGATGTGAAATAGCATTAAAAGTTTCAAAGCAATATCTCAAAGGGTTAAGGCAATAAGTGGATTTTACCCTTATTCAATGTATTTTCTAAGTCAAAAAGGGGCATAATTCTGTCAAAAACCTTGACAGAGTTATGTCCTCTTGTCTGTTGATGAAGGTCGTGATGGTAAACAAGTATGGTCAGTTTCAAAGCAATACCTCCAATGGTTTTGAAATAAAGTGAGGTGGTACAAAAAACTTAACCAAGCTCAATACACTTTCTAAGTCAAAAAAGGGCCATAATTCTGTCAAAAACCTTGACAGAGTTATGTACTCTTGTCTGTAGATGGAGGTTTATGATGGTGAACAAGTATGGTAAGTTTCAAAGCCATACTTGTAATACTTCTGAAATAAAGTGGGGTGGTACGAAAAACTTAACCAAGGTGTGACGCCAACGCCGACGCCGGGGCGAGTAGGATAGCTCCCCTTTTCATAGAAAAGTCGAGCTAAAAACAAACAACAACACAAAAACAAGAGGGCCATGATGGCCCTGAGGTCGCTCACCTGTATAAAGGCCCCCGGAGCGGGGCCAGTTTAAACCCCAGGGCTTTTATTTGAACAAACTTGGAAGACACTCATTAGAGAAGATGTTTCACAATGTTAAGTTTTTTACCTCACACATGTAATGAAAAACAATGATCTCACCTGCCCCCCCCTTTCCCCCCCCCCCGACCCCCCCCCGCAGGGCCAATTTCACCCAAGGGCTTTTATTTGAACAAACTTGTAGATATCCATAAGAAGATATTTCATGCTAAACATCTGAGCTCTAGCTCATTGGATTTTTTAAAAGAAGATTTTTAAGTTTTTAATACACACATATAGTTAAAAACAATGACACCCCTGTGGCGGGGCCAGTTTTGACCCCAGGGCTTTTATTTGAACAAACTTTGTAGACATTTACTAATGCTTAATATCTAAACTCTAGCTATTTGGGTTTTTTCAAAGAAGATTCTTTAAGTTTTTACTATATGCATATAGGGAAAATCAATGACCCCCGGGGCGGGGGCCAATTTTGACCCCAGGCTATTATTTGAACAAACTTTGTAGACACTCACTAGAAGATGTTTCATGCTTAATATCTAAACTCTAGCTATTTGGGTTTTTTCAAAGAAGATTTTTTAAGTTTTTGCTATACACATATAAGGAAAATCAATGACCCCCGGGCGGGGCCAATTTTGACCCCAGGGCTTTTATTTGAACAAACTTGGTAGACACCCATTAGAAGATGTTTCATGCTGAATATCTTAGCTCTAGCTCTTTGAGTTCTTTCAAAGAAGATTTTGTAAGTTTTTACTATATGCATATAGGGAAAATCAATGACCCACTGGGGCGGGGCCAATTTTGACCCCAGGGCTGTTATTTGAACAAACTTGGTACACACTCATGAGAAGATGTTTCATGCTGAATATCTTAGCTCTAGCTCTTTGGGTTCTTTAAAAGAAGAATTTTTTAAGTTTTTACTATATGCATATAGGGAAAATCAATGACCCCCTGGGGCGGGGCCAATTTTGACCCCAGGGATTTTATTTGAACAAACTTGGTAGACACTCACTAGAAGATGTTTCATGCCAAATATCTAAGCTCTAGCTCTTAGGGTTTTTTAAAAGAAGATATTTAAAGTTTTTTCTTTCGGTTGCCATGGCAACCAGAGTTCTGCATGGAATTAAATTCTTTGAACAATTTTTAAAGGTGGCCACCAAAGGAACATTCCTGTGAAGTTTGGATGAAATTGGCTTAGTGGTTTATGAGGAGATGTCATTTAAAGTAAAAGTTTACGGACGGACGGACGCCGGACGGACGCCGGACGAAAAGCGATCACAAAAGCTCACCCTGTCACTTTGTGACAGGTGAGCTAAAAACCCCACAAAAATCATAGAAAAGAAACATAAAAACCATTTTCTATCCAGTAATAAAACACATCATGAGAGAATCAAAGCAAAGAAAACATTTTGAATTGATTAATTACCTCACAAAGTGGTTTTCCCGGTGCTGGCACCAGCATGTATTCTTTGATGCAACACGATTTCCCTGGAGCAGATCTACCACTCTGGAAGATTGTTACCATTGGCAGTGGCATCCTAAACTTTTTTGGTGTCTGAAGAAATATTTCACTTTTATTAAAACAATCATCATAACGTACAATATTAATATTTACCCTACCCTAGAAATGCAACGTAATTAAGCCTTCATCAATGGCATGTAGCCAGGCCAGCCTGACATAGACAGGCTAGCCTGATCTGCACAGTCTGGCCAGGCTCTATACTCTTGGTGGCTCCATTTTTATAACTTATTAATGAAATACATTAATTTTTGAATTTACTCTGCTACAAGCTGGCTAACTACATTATGTAAATCAAGCAGGTTATTAGGCTTACAGACAAGCATTGATCTTACGTAACCTTCTACCACAGAGGTGATCAAATTAATATCTTATTTATCAAAACCACAAAAGTGATCAAATTAATATCTTATTGATTAAAACCTTAGAGGTGATCAAATTAATATCTTATTGATCAAAACCACTGAGGTGCCCTTCCATGCATTTTTCAGGCAACTGAGTAGAACCATGGACATTCCCTACATTTAAGCTGGATTATAAGCTTCCTCACATGGAAGAATCCATAGTCACTGACGCCCTTAACCACTGACACACCTTTTAATTAATTGTAATTAAGTGATTTACTTTTCAAAATACTTGGACCCAGGTCCGAGCCATGTTATGAAAATTATATCATCTAATTAATATTACATTACAATACCTGTCCACAGCGTAAAGCACCAATATATTCAAACAATGGTGAGTCTGTAGTTCGAGCTCCGGCAACGCAGATAGCCTGGCTTGCGGCACTCATGCAGCAGCTTCCACATATCATATTCTCCTTAGGTTCATCTGGTACAACAACAACAGGAGCTCCACCCTTTCCACCTTTACCCCTGCACGTAAAAAAAACAACAAATATTGTAATTACAATGTATTATGAATTTGGTCAAATTTTTATAACAAGTTCAAATTAGCTGAAACATTAATAATTTATTATATAATTTAATATCAAGGAATTACAGCAACATTAATGTAACTTTTCTGTAAACTTTGAGGTCTCTAGAGAAGTCTTATAAAAAAAATTGCTAAAAAGTAAAAATTAATCAACTGTCACTCACTACATGTATTATGATTCTGAGTGCAATTCGGGAAATTAAAATCTAGAATAAAGAAAAATGAAAAAAAAAAAGATGCTTCAACCAAAAAAGTAACCACCATGCCTTGCAAGAATCGAAAAGTGATTAGCCAAGTCTGACCAGGCTCCATTCTGTTGGTAGACCATCTTGATATACCCAAAAAACTACACAAATCCATTCTAGAATTTCAGAAAGTAAAGGGATAAATATCAATATCCTAAAATTAACAAAAATGGACTGTTCCAAATTCATAAATGGTCTAGCCAATTACTTATATTTAGTAAAGTTAAGGTTATTACCATTGATCCAAACACTGTGTGGCAGTGTCAGAACCCAAAATATGGATTTAACTCAATACAGTGTTGGAGCAGTACCTATAGATGCTTGCAGAAATCATGATCATAAAAAAGACAAATATTGTTTTTTTTCCTTGATTCTTATATTTTTTCATTCTTTATCGTATATAATCATCGTGAAGAGATGAACAGATGTTTTAAAGTTTATTCCATTGGACGAAAAGGCAAGATTTTTGCATTTAATCATTCAAGCGCCTTTTTTCAGTTATAATATACTGGAATATGGTATTTAGTGTGGTGCACTAATTCTTTTTACAGTCTCACTTCCGTTGTTATTTCCCAGTAATCATTTTCACCAGGGTAAATTCTGTAAAGTGTTGGAATGGAGCTGATGTTTATTGGGATAATTAACTGTTTAACAATTCAATTATAAAATCAAACTTAAACTTGACACTTTTGATATGGCAGGGTTCGGGTGTTAACTATTGTTTGGTAGTAGTCGTTGCACTGCACACATCCAATTTCAGTGACCATCAAAATGTTTACAACTTGCGAAGCGATGTGATTTGTGACATTACTATAGTCATAGCCTAACCATTGCAAGTTTTTGGTTGTCTTTTCAAACTTTCTGTGACCATTATAGTTAGGGCCCGAACCCTGCCAATATTAAATGGTCAATAAACAAAGGAAGGGTAGGTTATTTTGAATAAATATGGTGAGGAAAGCAATTAAAACTTGGTAAATTTAAATCATAGCCAAATATAACCGTTTACATGTAATTGTATAATAAGACAATGATAATTTTAAACCTTCATGCAGTCTTATCTGGCTTTATATTTTTCCTTTACTGGGGAGAGGGAAAAGTCGGGTATGAATAAATAATTATAAAAGGAAACAAGAAAAATCTTACTTTTGCTTGTCCTTATTCTTAGCACTACAAAGTATGTAAAATAAACAAAGATAAATACTTTGAATTCTGTGTTGTCAGCCTTTTTATGAATGGTGTAAACTCCATGTTAAAATTATTGTTTCTTTAATTAACCTTCTAAATTTGTGAAATGGATTTGCCCATCTTTGAACTTTGGAATAGTCCATTCAAAGATAAAAGAATTCCATATAAAAAATGACTTCAATATGAAAATACAAAAAAGTAAGCTACAAAACAGTGCAGAACCTGGTCAGACTTAGTTTGCATTGATTTACACTCAACCAGCCTGGTACTATACTGGTTGGTTAGGCAATGGCTTATCACTTTTGGTTCCTGAGCCGGTTATATAAGGCTAAATGAAGATTTGTCTTTTACTCTTTTTTTCAATTGCAGCTATACATGTAATCTTGAACCACTGTGAGTAGGTTGAAATTTCAAAAGCCATTGTGAAATTTTAAGATTGGTCAGCTTATGTCAAAGATTACATAATAGCATTTTGTTGGCAAACACTTTTTTTTTACAAATGTAAAATTACTCTTTTGTAATTTTTTTTTAATAATTTCTTACTGGAACAAACTAGAATATTTTATTGATGAACAAAATAATATGTAAAGACATTTATCATTAAAGAATTATTAGGAACAACTTGTACTGAACAGCAACCTGTGATATTTCTAACTTTACAAAAGGCAACTCTTTCATTCAAAATGTAAGAAAGAGTTATGGGCCTTTGAAAATGACCCTCAATTAGAATCTGAAAGACATAAATTAAATTAATTTAAATTAAGTTCACAAAGGGCTTTAAACAGTAAACTTTCAAGTCAGAATTATGGGCCTTGAAAAGTGACCAGCTCCTATGACGATTTCAGAGACATGTGCAAATGTGTATAAAAAGCTATATTTAATAGTTTCTTTAAATGAAATTATAAACAGTACCATTATGTTGTTACCATTATAAATCTTGTAGTTGATTCTAAAATGAGTTGTAACATAAAATGCCTCTTGTATTTAAGATATATTATATTTGATGTAAAAAAGAATAAAATGTTATGCTGCTATTTGAAGTAATTGGACAAAATCATTCAGAAATGACTTTGTGCATGAGCCCTCACTCTAAAGGAAAAATACAAACGCATTTCTTTTTGTACAGGTATTTAAAAAGTATACTAGTATTTTTCAAAAATTCAAACAATAATTTTTATAAAATACAGACAGCTGATGCACTTTAAATTACCATCAAATACCTTAAAACTTGAACCATGTGTATAACAACTCTGTCAAGCGAGTAGGATAGCCCCACTATTCTTTGAATTGTCAAGCTAAAAAGCCATAGCAACAAGTAAAAGATTTTGTTTTACTGAACAGACAAAATGAAAAATTAATGAAGAAAATCATAGTAGTTTTGATTTTTTCCTCTAATTCTTCTTGAAGACTAAATTCATCTTTGTCACACCAAAAGGTCATATGGTGACTTTCCAGCTTTACTGATAGAGGAAGACCTTAGGTGACCCTCTGTGCATTATTTCAGGAACCACCAATGTTTCGTAAGCTAGCTGGATAGCTTTCTCACATATAGCCAACAATGCATGCATGGCTCAAACCTACAACAGTGAGAGGCAAGTAGCTTGAAGTCAACGACCTTAACCACTCAGCCATAGATGCCAACAAATATTTTGTTTTACAAACAACCAATCTCTAATAAATTAAGGTGCAATTTTGCAAACACTAGCTAGGCAATTTGATACCTTGTGATTGATGGCACAGTGTACAAATGTTTTCAAAATGAACGTCATGCAACCTTAACAAGTTTCTAAGGCTGAGTTTTGGAATAACTAGGTAAAGAGCAGAACTTTTGTAAAAAAGATTTTACAGCATCACAACTCATATCCTTGTTTAAAAGGGCTATAACTCAGAAACCATGTTAGTTATAGGGCCCATTATGATCTAAAAAATTAAGACATTTAATGTTTCAAGCAGTAACCTTCAGTATTTGATTAGATATGATGTTGAACAAGAAGTTGCATACAAAAATCAAACCAGGCCTCATATTTTGTTTACTGTGGGATTCTAATCAAATCTGGTTGTATGTTATAAAACAGAGGCATCAAAAGTCTGAAATTTGACCTTACAATTAAAGGAGACAAAACACAACAAAGTCTGAATCATGATATTACAATTACTATAGGCAGAAAATAAAATAGAGTCTGAATCATGATAATTTACAATAAAGGGAGACAATAAAATCAAGTGGGAACCATGATATATCCTGAGACAATAAATTTATTTAAGCCAGTGAAATATTTGTGAGAAATGCCTAGCTCTACATTCCACACTGATCTACAAACACTGGTGCACATATGAACAAACCCTGTTGTTGTTGTTGTATCTGCTCCCATCTTACTAACTGCTCTATTTTCATTCCTACAGTGATTATAATTAGTACTAAAACATAGGCAATATATATATATTTTTGTTTTTGTAGTCCTCTGACTAAGCCTTAAATTTTCTGTTGTTGTTTCAGCATTTTTTTCCTCTACTTTGGGAATGGTGCCGGTACCAGACTGATTGGGAAAAAATGCGTTATTTTGACTAAAATTGGGAATTTTTTTAATGCATTTTTTCAGCTACAAATGAGATTAGACATCATGCATAAAGATAGCTAACAGCTTCTACTGTCCAGATAGAACTATTGAGTTGTGATTTATATGAATATGTTGGATTTAAATGATTTTAGAAAAATCACTTTGCCTTGTGGGCATTTTGAACAGCCATTTTGGGAATTTAACATTGGAAATTGGGAATTTTAATGTCTATTTTCTATTGGGAATGGTACCGTTTTAGGGTAGTAGTTATATAAAGAAAAAAAACACTGTGTTTTACAGTATAATGTTGGCAAAATAAAAATTAATAAAGAAAAATAATATTTATATCCTTCCTGGTATTGATAAAGACCTTAATTAGACATCTTAGATATAGAGGATATTGAATGAGTGTAAGTTCAATACTGAATTTATTGCACGAGTTGAATAAAATTATATTATGCGAGCCTCTGGCGAGCATAATATTATTATATTCAACGAGTGCAATATATTCAGTAATGAAATTACACGAATTTAATATTCTATTTATCACATAACCCAAAATAAAGACCGTTAAAAGTTAAATAATAGTCATTTTTCATTGATGCGACTATAGTATAACGCTAACATTTAGCGCGTCTTTACACTATGTTTGTATAACGCTAATGACGTCACGTCAAAATATATGCACGGCCGTGCAATACCATATTTACGGAGTCGCAAAATCGGCACGGGTGTGTGATAAAATGATAAAAGGAAAGAAGTAAGATAAAAGTATTTTAAGATGCATAATCTAATCCAATGATAGACCTAAAATTATAAGTTTAGATTGCAAATATTAATAATATCAACATCTTAACATGCCTAAAATATTACACAAGATATTGTGTCTTGCTGCCTATCATTTCCTACATGTAACTAAGAAAGAAATTCCTACCTATCTACCTATCCTTGTTCTTAGTCCTCTACAAGAACTGGCCTACCTTTTCATAACATACATGGTTATACAAAGATAGTAACTAGTAGTGTATCATGTGATAGATAGAGAAAGAAGATAGAAAGGTTACCTTAGAGGATGCCTGATTTCACTTTTCCTATTTTTAAAAGGAACACCAGGTCTAGATATTTTGTTTAACTTTTCTGTTTAACTTAAGCTTAATTCCTAGGAGATTTTATCATTTAGCTGATAATGTAGATCACTTACTTTCCAGATTTAGGTTTATCACTTTTGCTGACACTACTTGTAGGTTTCTTATCTGAATCTTTGGTTTCTTCAGTACCCTCTGTCTGTTCAGCCTCCAATGCTAACTTTTCCTCCTCCGCTGCCTTCAGTTTGGCAATTATTTCACTAGAGATGGAAAAAAGATAGCAAGATCTTTAACTTTTTATATGCATGTAATAGCATTAAAAGTGACTGTGACTTATCCAATGCTTACACCATTAAGCCAGGTCAGACTGTGCTCCATTTAGTCTTATCAAGCTCTACATGGTTGCAATGTCTTTTACCACCCTTTGATGGCTCCATTTAATGTTCCCCTTCCATATCAATTGATTAGAAATTGCTATTGTTTACAAAACGAATGAAAATGGTTTTTATAACTTTTTACCAACAATTTTCTTCATCTAACTAGAAAACAAATTTCCAAATTTGGTATCCCTGGACTTGTTTCTGAAATGGTGAAAAGCTGGTAAGCCAAAAGTATTAAGCCTGGTCAGACAAAACAGATGTGCAGCTGGCGCGGCTCTGTACTGGTTGTAAAGGTGAATTCCCTTAATCAAATCACTTGTCCTGCAGGACAAGTAACTGCCAAATTATAACTATTGTTATGTAAACTACATTTTTCTTTTTACCAGGCTGTGAATTCTACTCATTAATACAAAAAGACTTGAAAAATTAACAAGATTGCATTTGAGAAAAATGCTATGCCACCGCATTAATACAACACTAAATAGTAGTGTAGGAACAGATTTTTTTTGTTTCTATGCAATTGAAGATTGTCATAATGCATAGATCCCTGACCTATCTAATTCTTATTATCAGATTAGTGGTTAAATCTATTGTTAATCCAATAAAAGATCAGAGTAGGAATATATCAATGCACTTGAGTCTGGTGAATTTGGTGGTGAAGGTCATATTTCACACAGCCTAAATTTTATGACTACATCAAAGGACAACATAGTTAGACACTTTGTCAAAATCTAGGTCAGCTGATATCACTACACAATGTTTCATGCAAAATATCTAACCTCTAGCATTTGTCAATTGCTAGAAATTTTTTTTTAAAGTTTTTACTATAAGTTTTTACTATATACATATAAGGAAAACCAATGACCCCCGGGGCGGGCTGATTTTGACCCCAGTGCTATAATTTGAACAATCTGGGTAGAGGTCAACCAGACAATGCCTTATGCAAAATATCTAAGCTCTAGGCCTTTTGGGTTTTTACAAGAAGGTATTTTAAGTTTTTACTATATGTACATATAGTGAAAATCAATGACCCCCGGGCCGGGCCGATTTTGACCCCAGGGCTATCATTTGAACAATCTTGGTAAGGGTCTACCAGACACTGCCTTATGCAAAATATCTAAGCTGGCCTTTTGGGTCTTTACAAGAAGGTATTTTAAGTTTTTACTATATGTACATATAGTGAAAATCAATGACCTCCGGGGCGGGGCCGATTTTGACCCCAGGGCTATCATTTGAACAATCTTGGTAAGGGTCTACCAGACAATGCCTTATGCAAAATATCTAAGCTCTAGGCCTTTTGGGTCTTTACATGAAGGTATTTTAAGTTTTTACTATATGTACATATAGTGAAAATCAATGACCCCCAGGGCGGGCCGATTTTGACCCCAGGGCTATAATTTGAACAATCTTGGTAGAGGTTTACCAGACAATGCTTTATGCAAAATATCTAAGCTCTAGGCCTTTTGGGTCTTTACAAGAAAATTTTTTTTATTTATTCTTATAATCCCTTTTGGTTGCCATGGCAACCAGATTTCTGCATGGAATGAAATTCTTTGAACAACTTTGGAAGCCCTTTAGCCAAGGATCAATCCTGCCAAGTTTGGTTGAAATAGGACTAGTGGTTTTTCACAAGAAGATTTTTGAAGTTCACTATATAACCTATATAACACACACAAACAAACAAACACACACACACACACACAGGTGAATCACTATAACAACTAGAACAATGATACACGGATTTTTATGCCACCGCAGCATCTGCGATGCGGTGGCATAAAAATCCCTGTATCATTGTTTTAGTTAAAATTATGCTGTGCTTTTTTAAGTTTATATTTACCTTACTAAGGTATCAAGTTCCTCTTGTTTTGAAGGGTCTTGGCCATTCAGTTTGGTACAAACTTCAGTATTTATCAGTTGAATGGCTGCAGCAACATTATTCTCCCTTTCTTTCATCTCTTCCTCTAGCTCCTCTGCCTTTGCAATTTCTAACAGTGACGGTGTTGTACTTGAACTCAAGGTCGAGCTTACTAGCTATGTAGCAAGAAACAAAACAAATTCTAGATAAAGTTATGTGATAATGAGGGACTCAGAAGCATACTGTTTACATGCAGCAACTTTTGTCAAGGTCTGATGTTAAATATTGATATAATCATATATTTATAAAATTATAAGATTATATGTGAACATAGTTATCAACATTTATCAACATTTAAACTTTACTCCACACTGAAACAGATTTTCCCTGCTTTGAAATTGGAAACAGTCCATTAAAACAAGAGGGCCATGATGGCCCTGAAGTCACTCACCTGTATATAGGCCCCCGGAGCGGGGTCAGTTTTAACCCAAGGGCTTTTATTTGAACAAACTTGGTAGACACCCATTAGAAGATGTTTCATGCTAAACATCTAAGGTCTAGCTGGTCAAGTTTTTTCTTTACACATATAGTTAAAAACAATGACACACCTGGGGCAGGGCCAATTTTGACCCAAGGACTTTTATTTGAACAAACTTGGTAGACATCTATTAGAAAATGTTTCATGCTTAATATCTAAACTAGCTATTCAGGTTTTTTCAAAGAAGATTTTTAAGTTTTTGCTTTACACATATCAGGAAAATCAATGTCCCCCGGGGCGGGGCCAATTTTGACCCCAGGGCTTTTATTTGAACAAACTTTGTAGACACTCACTAGGAGATGCTTTGTGCTTAATATCTAAACTCTAGCTATTTGAGTTTTTTCAAAGAAGATTTTTTAAGTTTTTGTTATACACATATAAAGAAAATGAATAACCCCCGGGCCGGGTCCAATTTTGACCCCAGGGTTTTTATTTGAACAAACTTGGTAGACACTCACTAGAAGAGGCTTCATGCTTAGTATCTAAACTCTAGCTATTTGTTTTTTTTCAAAGAAGATTTTTTAAGTTTTGCTATACACATATAAGGAAAATCAATGACCTCGGGGCGGGGCCAATTTTGACCCAAGGGCTCTTATTTGAACAAACTTGGAAGACATCCATTAGAACATGTTTCATGCTAAATATCTTAGCTCTAGGTCTTTCGGTTCTTTAAAAGAAGATTTTTCAAGTTTTTACTATATGCATATAGGGAAAATCAATGACCCCCTGGGGCGGGGCCAATTTTGACCCCAGGACTTTTATTTGAACAAACTTGGTAGACACCCATTAGAAGATGTTTCATGCTTAATATCTTAGCTCTAGCTCTTTGGGTTCTTTAAAAGAAGATTTTTTAAGTTTTTACTATATGCATATAGGGAAAATCAATGACCCCCTGGGGCGGAGCCAATTTTGACCCCAGGGCTTTTATTTGAACAATCTTGGTAGACACTCACTAGAAGATGTTTCATGCCAAATATCTGAGCTCTAGCTCTTTGGGTTTTTTAGAAGAAGATATTTCAAGTTTTTTCTTTTGGTTGCCATGGCAACCAGAGTTCTGCATGGAATGGAATTCTTTGAACAACTTTGTTAAGGCTTCACACAAGGAACATCCCTGTAAAGTTTCATTTATGATCTCTGCCTTATGGTTTCAGAGGAGATGTCCTTTTAAAAGTGTGAACGGACAACGGACGACGTACGACGGACGAAGAGTGATCCTAATAGCTCACCCTGAGCATATGCTAAGGTGAGCTAAAAATGCACAAATAAATATCAAAATACAACAAGTGCACTGCACACAGTGTAACACTAGCCTAGCTCTGTATTGGTGGCATTAAACACTTATCACTTTTCATTTTTAACTGCCCCTTTTTATCATTTTGGGCACAAATAGATATAATAATAAGGATAGATAATCTAGGATATACTTATGCACCAGTAATTTTAATCACTACTATCCCTCTGGTAGGGCAGAGAGTAGTAAGGGAAATATTCTTAGCTTTAAGTCTTTACCTTTTGTCTTAAACCCTTATCACCTAGTCAATATGAGGTTTTGTTTAAAGGCCCATTAAGGCCCCTAAATGCCATACTATTTGTGTTTTAAATACTTGTTTTCAATGTCTGCATTATACTCTGTTTACCTTTTCCTTATTATTTACTGTACAGAAAATGTCTGTCTGTATAGATGCCTGGCCTTTCCCATCAATTGCAGTCCTTGCTCTCACCTATAATGTAAAATGAATACAAAATAAGTAGCTCAACAATGACATTACTAAATATAGCAGAGGTTGGGAGGCATATACTTAAGTAGATAATTTTGCATAAACATGTATCACTTTTAAAAGAATTGTTGTAAAACTGTTTTAATACATAGAGAAGATTATTCTCAAATTATTTAACTTAAATAACAAATTGATAAACATATAGATTTTGTAACACAATCCTACCTTTGTAATTGTTGGTGTCTTTGAATATCCTTGGAAATAATTTGCCTGAAATAGATCATTACATTCATAAAATATAAAGCTTTAAACAAGAGGACCATCCCTAATGTCACTAACTTGAGACCAATAGCTAGGCAAGGGCATAATTTTAATAGAAAAAAATAAATGACCACTGTAATAATGGTAATTTCTACCCCTTGGCAGTAACTGTAACATAGCCATTTTTGCAGAAAAGGCAAAACAATATCTGACAAATTTTTTGGACATTAGTTTTCTTTTTAAAAAATTTTTATTAAAGTTACAATGGAAAGTAATCTCTGTAAATTTTTTCCTGTATTAAATAAAAATCCCAAAAGATGGGGGTTTGAATGAGGATCATTATTGCCCCAAAAGCTAAAATTTTTTAGTAGCTAACAACAGGGATCCCTCTAAAGGCTGCTATGTACATATTTACGACACTAAAATTAAGTGATTATGTAAAAAAGAACAGCATTTTTGGGCTTTTTATAAACTTTTTCCCGAAAAAGCCCTTTTTAAAGTAAGAAATGGTTTGATAAAAACAGTTTTTTTAAAAAAAAGGGTCAAATTTAAGAGCAGCAGAGCACAAATTTCTCATTCTGTTGTATTCTAGAGCATAAAACTTGGAAAAGAAAAGTTCAACAAATAACAATTATTGTCAATGTCACATGGTAAGGCATTGATTTAGATTATAACATTACCTGTGATTTACAAGGACACATTATGCTTACAGTGACTTTTCCCCCTTTATTTTACAACCGAATAATTAAAGGCTGTTTCCCCTAGCCCAAAACAGGTATATTTTCCTCTAAAAATGCTAATATTTTTCGGCATGTGTACATTCTTCACTTAACATATGAAAGCTGTCCCTATAGATAGCCTCTGCTATGAATCATGCATGTTAAATTAAATTGAAATACTCAGTTGTTACTTGTTAGAATTTGATTTTCCCTTGATTTATTGCTCTATATTTTCCCCTTCAGAAAGCCACAGGTTGTTTTGAAAATTGAAAAAAAAAATCACTGGCTAATCTTCTGCTAACTGACTTTAAAAACTTAATGTGAGTGAGCATTGTATCATGGTTACGTTCAACATTGAGAAGTAAAAAACAGTTTTGTTAGAACTCTAAATTATCCAATAAAGAACACAATTAATGATTGAAATTTGAATGCTTAACAGCCTCTAATTATTCAAAATACATGTATGTTACTTGTATTAAGAATTTTTTAAAGCGAAACTGGAAATCAAACTCCATTACCAATATTTCCATCAAGAATTCTTTGCAAATTAAATTCCAATGCAAAAAATTGCTGATATGCAATCTTTTTCACATTCATGATATCAAGAACTTGTATTGTATAAATTATAATTAAAGAATCATTTAATTTCTGATGTTTAATAACCTGTTATGGTGAAAATGTCACTAATTTCATACATTACAAAATGGTATGTGATTTTGGAAGTACATGCACCACATTTTGGAAACATGTTTTAGTTGTTATTTAACTAAATGTTTTAAACATAAAAATATCAAATGATGTTGGAGATTTAATGTTCATTTCGATAATAAAATTGGGAAAATAAATATGTATATTTTGCATATTTTAAAGATTACGACTGGTACAAATGCTTGCTTAAAAAATCCCACCATTTTCAGTCCAAATCCCCTACTTTTTAAATAAAAATCCCCCAAAAAAGGTGGCTGGAAATATGACATTCAGGGTTCAAAAATTTCACTCATTTACCCTTATTTACAAGATTGATGCAGGACATGTACAAAATTGTGGAATGCTCACCCAGAAGGACAAGCGAAAAAAAAATTGCCAATGTAATAGGAAGTTAGAATTCTCACAATCAGTTTGTTTACCAAAACCAGAAACAGAGCTTGAGTTTAAGGTTATATACAAATTGCACACTTAAAGCATTGTTAATTGGATACGGGAAAGTGCCCGACAATGCTCTATATTTAAGTGCGCGATTTATGCATAACCTAAAACACATGCTTAGTTTCTGGTTTTGATTTGTTGAATTAGTGTAAACAAACTGTTTATGAAAATTTTTAGCAGTCTATTGCACCGGAAAGTTTCTATTGTGTCTGGGAAATTTATTTTGAAAATTATGCCCAAAATGCAGGATGAGTAGCAATTATCATGCAGGACGAGCAGAAATTAGAAGCTATACTTGTCCTGATGGACAAGTGCAGAGGTGTGGAATTTTGGATTTTCCCACTTGCACATGGAAAAGGGGTCTGCGGAAAAGTTGGACTAAAATTTTTACTTGACCGCAGCTAAAGTTCACTTGCCCAAATAAACAGTAAAAAGTTATAAGCTTGGCCTAATTTGACCAATGGGTCCTTGTTTACTGGGGTTTTGCTAAAACTCTTATTTGGACACACATGATAAGTTGAAGTGATGTAAGAGTGTCCTTTCTTATTTAAAGACTTCCCTACATAAATGGCCAAGGTCGTATACGGTTTGTGGGAACATTTCGCAAACATGAAAATAAACTTTGCCTGGATTAAACAGCATCGGGGCAAAATTTAATGTTCATGATCAAGTACACTTAGAATTTCTGGATTTTGCTTTTTTTCTGACTCAGAAATTCACTTGTCCAATCTAATTTCCGCCGGCAAAAAGTCCCGAGTCTGGCAAGTCGGGCATATATGATCACTGACGCTTGGGGGTTAGATCCTGCCCCCCCATTGTGATACGCCCCTGTAAACACTCTATCCAGGGCTCTCAATAGGGTCAGAATTTCACGAGTCAAAGACTCTTTGGCCAAAATTTTCATGAGTCAAATAATTTTTTTCTAGTGTCATTTGACTACATGAATCATTTTTATGTTACAAAAATGACTGTATTGGAGGTCATTTTTGGAGATTCCAAAGTCTAAATTGACAGAAAAAAACCCATAATTATAAATGTCTATACCTCCCCCCCCCCACCCCTGCTCCACCTAAAAAAAACAAATAAAACCAAAAAATGAATTGCTGTGAAAGAATAAAATAAGCAGCAGCTTTTCTGATTAAATGTATAAAATATAAAAAAGAATTATCTTTACTGGTATGCTATATCATATTAATTTTAAATACCAAAATGTATCTTGGAATATTTAATGGAAAAAGAAATAACAAATGCACCGGTACTCCAAGTAAATCAAAGACGTATTATAAACCTTTAAAAGCAATCAATAATTGACACCTCAAGTATGTAATTCTTATCAGTTGTGTAGAGCTATTTTTAGCACTGTCAAATTGCAGCCACTGAATTGTCGCGCTTCAGTGCACAGGGTATAAACAATTGCCGTGTGTAAAGCATTTTTATACACGGCTTATATTGCCTGTTGGCATTTTTAATGAGTGAGATTTGACAGATGTAGGATTTGATAGGTAATTAGGGGTGGATTAAAGGTAATTATTATTGCATAGCTGAAAATCCCATGTGGCAAATTGACTCTTGAGCAGATTTTAACACGTGTCAAATTGTGCATTTCCCGATTTTCACGAGTCAAAACCCGGATCCCCGTGTCAATCGAGAGCCCTGCTATCAAAACTTTTTTAATATTTAAAAACGAATGGGACAGAAGAAGAAGATGTTAGATTCCTGGCACGATTATTGGTGGACTTTTCCTACGGGTCTGTCTTCAGCATTCACGTCATACTATATAAACAAGTACACTGAAGTCCTTAACTTGGCTTAAGCTATAGATATCTCACTGCACTTAACTCAAACGTCTAAGGTCAGTCTACATAATCAGAAATAAACAAACTCCTTGATTTAGTTAGGCCTACATACCAAATGACCATAAACGTCTGCAGGATTTTCATAGAACATGGAATTGAGAATTTCTTCCATCTTTTGCGGAACTCCATTTTCATCGTAAAATTTAGCTGCACGTTCTTTGAGATCGTAAAGTTCCCTTGCTTCTTTGACATTCGTCATTGATTTAGTTGAGGCCGACATTTTAGTAAATGTCTGTTTAAAGTTCTTGTTTTTTGGTCACTAACAAGATATTCTGTATAACTAATTTTCCTGACTTTATTTATTGAAAGCGTCGACTTTGTCCGCCATATTGAATAGTTACCAAGGACAGACTTCCGGTATAACAGGTGAAAC